AAAAAAAAAAATTGGAGAAGCATTTTGAAAAGACATGGAATAACTTTGGTAAAAAGATGAAGGATGAGTTTAGAAAATCAAAGCTGAAAAGCACATTATTTATTTTTCATCATAGAAAATATTTGAAAACTTTTAAAGGAAAAAAAAAAACTTTAGGCCAGGAGAGCTGGCTCACGCCTGTAATTCCAGCACTTTGGGAGGCCGAGGCGGGTGGATGATCTGATGTCAGGAGTTGGAGACCAGCCTGGCCAACATGGTGAAACCCTGTCTCTACTAAAAATATAAAAATTAGTTGGCCGGGTGTGGTAGCTCACGCCTGTAATCCCAACACTTTGGGAGGCCAAAGCAGGTGGATCACTTGAGGTCAGGAGTTCAAGACCAGCCTGGCCAATATGGTGAAACCCCGTCTCTACTAAAAATACAAAAAATTGGCCAGGTGTGGTGGTGGGTTTCTGTAATCCCAGCTACTTGAGGGGCTGAGGCAGGAGAATCGCTTGAACCCAGGAGGCGGAGGTTGCAGTGGGCCAAGATCGTATGATTGCACTCCAGCCTGGGCAACAAGAGTGAGACTCCATCTCAAGGAAAAAAAAAAAATAGCTGGGTGTGGTGGCAGGTGCCTGAAATCCCAGCTGCTCAGGAGGCTGAGGTAGGAGAAGTGCTTGAACCCAGGAGGCAGAGGTTGTAGTGAGCCGAGATCGTGTCATTGCACTCCAGGCTGGGCAACAAGAGTGAGACTCCATCTCAAAAAAAAGAAAAAAAAAAGTGCAATTAGATAGACAGTAACATATTTGTAGCAGGGGACTTCATTACTCCACTGACAACACTAGACAGATAATCAAGACAGAAAGTCAACAAAGAAACAATAAACTTAAACTATATCCATTATATCCTAGAACAAATGGACCTAACACATATTTACAGAACATTCTACCCAACAATTGCAGAATATGTATTTTTTATCAGCACATGAAACATTCTCCAGGATAGACTATATGATAGGCCACAAAACAAGTCTTAATATATTTAGGAAAATAGAAATTATGTCAAATACTCAGATCACAGTGGAATAAAACTGGAAATAAACTATGAAAGGAACCCTCAAAACTATACAAATACATGGAAATTAAATAATCTTTTCCTGAATAATCATTTGCTCAACAGTGAAATCAAGATGGAAATATAAAAGCTCTTTGAGCTGAATGATAACAGTGACAAAACTTATCAAAACTCCTGGAATACAGCAAAGGCAGTGCTAAGAAGAATGTTCATAACAATGTCTATATCAAAAAGTCTGAAAGAGTTCAAATTTAAAAATCTAAGCTCATACCTCAAGAAACTAGAGAAACAAAAACAAACCAAACCCAAACCCAGCAGAAAAAAAAATAACAAACATCAGTGCAGAAATAAATGAAATTGAAACAAAAAATTTCAAAAGATAAATGAAAAAGTTTGTTCTTTGATAATATAAACAAAATTGATAGGTCATTAGCGAG